TTACATAAAGCACAGCAACAAAAATTGTTCTGCTACTTAAGTGTGTACATACTATAATTCTGCTGCAAAAAGCAAAGTCTCCATATAAAAGCCCCAGTTTACATACAACACTGATTCAGTAGATGGTTCTTTAGCCATCTGGAGCATTATGGGCCCCCAAGCAGTGGCAGAATATAGAATTCTAATTGGGGAAAATAATATATTAAACTCTCTTATTAAATGAAAAACAGTTTTTTGCTTTTTACAATCATTTATTTTTGTTCCTAAAGTGGTATTTAACCCAAAAGCAAACATTTATTATATTGCAGCCAATTCTTGCCTGTGCATGCGTTTTCATTTTTAGGCTTTCTTTCTTTCTTTCTTTTTTTGAAAATGGGGGGGAGCCTAAAAATAACTAATGCAGACAATGCATCTAATGATTGGTAAGCTGCAATATATAACATTTTGGGGGTTTGGGTTTATTACCTCTTTAATTGATAAGCCCACCAAAAATCAATATTTTGATTTAATGTGGAATATACAGCATGTGTCTTAGATACTCTAGCAGCAAGCATTTCTTACTCTAGTATTTTATTTTGTTCCGGTCTACGTAGACATTTTGGGGGTGTTCCTGCTCACCTTTGCTTGCCCCATCTGATTCCCATGCATTACTTATAGCAAAAACTAACATGAGCCACAGGGAGACTGGGACCCTTCGCAATAGCCAAAGCCGGTGTGTAAACCCAGGAACTAAAATGCAGAGATTTCACCTGCAGAGACCTCACCTACAAGAAAATGCCATGTATTGTATTTCTTCTGAAATAGTCTTGGGTGGACTGGCCCTTTAAACCAGTGGTCTCCAAACTGTGGCCCGCGGGCCAGATGCAGCCCTTTGCTTTCTGTTATCATGCCCTTGGGGCATTATTTCATCCACTGATACCAACAATGGGGTATAATTCCCCCGCTGACACCAATGATGGGGCACAATTCCTCCCAATGACACAACAATGAGGCCCAGTGACCCCACAGATGGGCCACAATTCCTTCCACTATAACGATGGGGCACAATTGCTATGACTGACACCAATGATAGGGCACAATTTCTCCCATTGATTGATGCACAATGATGGGGCACAATTTCTCCCACTGAAACCAATGATGGGGCACAATTCCTTCCACTGAAACCAATGATAGGACACAATTCCTCCCACTGAAGCCAGTGATGTGGCACAATTCCTACCACTGACAGCAATGATGGGGCACAATTCTTACCACTGACAGCAATGATGGGGCACAATTGCGTCCACTAAAACCAATAATGGGGCACAATTCCTTCCACTAAAACCAATGATGGGGCACAATTGCTATGACTGACACCAATGATGGGGCACAGTTGCTATGACTGACACCAATGATGAGGCACAATTCCTCCCACTGAAACCAATGATGGGGCACTATTTCTCCCACTGAAACCAATGAAGGGGCATAATTCCTACCACTGACAGCAATGATGGGGCACAATTTCTCCCAATGACACCAACAATGGGGCCCAGTGATCCCACTGATGGGGCACAATTCCTTCCACTGACACCAAAGATGGGGCATTGTTTTTTCCCCAATGACATCGGGACCTTTTCTACTCCCAATGGCCACAATCCGGCCCCCTTACAGTCTGAAGGACAGTAAACTGGCCCTTTGTCTAGAAAGTTTGGAGACCCCTGCTTTGAACCAATATTAGAACATATCAATAGATAGCACAGTGGCTTAGTGACAAGCATTGTTTCCTCTCAGTGCTGAGATCAGGAGATCGTGTTTTACCAAGTACCAGGGGCGGACTGACAACTCATGGGGCCCCCGGGCAATAGGGGATCATGGGGCCCCTGTGTCCTTGCCCAAACTCAAAAAAGCCTATGAAAAAGGTACCAGGGGCATCTCATGGGGCCTCCTACTGACCCCGGGCCCTCAGGCAGTGCCCGAGTTTCCAAATGGTCAGTCCGCCCCTGCCAAGTACCCTATCTGCATGGAGTTTGCATGGTCTGTCTGTGATTACGCTGAGTTCCCTTGGGCGTTCTCGTTTTCTCTCCCAGTCAAACACATAACAATGCACTACTTTGCTTCTGCCCAGTTAGGACATTGCGTCTATATGACAGTGAGTGATAGTGTCAAAGCTAACATAACTACTTCTGTGTACTCGGTTAGGTGCTGTAGAATTTATCAGTGCTATATAATTAAATGAAATAATTTTTGCACAGTAGTATTTCCAAGCTATCGCAAGTAACCTGAACCACCATCAATGCAAATGAGCGAATCAGGAACCTATTTGGCATGAAATTTTAGCTGATCCCGATGATGCTGCAATTAAAGCTATATATGTTTTGTCAGCACTCTGCAATTTATACATCCAGGCAAACCCTTGCAATAGATAATGCCTTTTTATGGTGTGTGAAGGTTGGATGGTTTTGGGCAGGGCCTCATTGTTAAAGATTAATGATGCAAGGTGTCTCACTAATGCTGTTAGACATTGCATGGTGTGGTGTTCCAGTTATATCTCACTAAACCTATCTAGCATTTCTAATAAAAACTGAATGTGCTTATCCTGCACAAAGAGCCACTCAATATTGTGCTGCATAGGTGAACAGATTGTAAATTCAAATTTAATTCAGAGTTGACTGGGGGCATCTAGTGGTGAAAGTTAGGAAGCGCACGTTGTGGTTTTTGAATATAAATTTCATATGCGAATATTAGCTCTTGCTGGATTAAATTAACACTAGGCTCTTCATACTGCATTATCATAAACATAATTTCATTTTTCCTACATTTTGATCAAAAAATTCTTTAATATACAATATTCTGGAGATGGCTGCACACAGCAAACTGATTAAATCTAGACTCGCTTGCATGTTTAACAATCTTAGATGAAAGAATAGTAGGGAACATGAATTTTAATTTAGTTTCATATATCAGTGCACTTATCTATAAAAACTTGATTATGAGACAAGAATTCTGCCGTGTTTAGCCAACGTGTCTGGCTGCCACTATTTATTATTCATTCTGCTGTCTGCAGAGTAAGCTCAGCTGTATGCAGAATTTTGCTCAAAGGATGAATGGACATAAACTCGAACATTGCTAATTATTGTTATAGACATGTACAAACACATTGGTTGTAAGTAAGTGCTTTCAAGACATGAGCAGAATAAATGTGGTCAGTGAATCCCAGTACATTAAGCTCATACACATGTATAGTTTATTATAAAATATATAGATATACATATGATGTAGAGTTCCAGAGCCTGCGGGTTAAATCTATTAGCCATCGGGGATTTATGGACAGTTGCTTTTAGAGGGGTTGATTTATTATAGCAAATAGGCTGTTCACTTTGCAGGGGAAATTGCAGCTTGCAAGAAGATTTTCTCAGAATACCCAATCACATGTAAGTAAAATTAAAAAAAAAAACTGCTTTGCTTGCATATGATTGGATGATGGAAGTCAGCAGCGCTTTACCTCATTTACTAAGCTCTGGAGAAATTTCCTTGCAAAGTGAACAGTTGATTTTCCTTTACTAAGTCAACCTGAGTGTGTGTTTAGTATCAGAGCCTACAGCATGCCAAGTAGCACTGAGAGCTGAAGTAAGGATCTATCAGTTCTTATTCATGTTTTGAAGCAATATGGCAGTGGAGAGGAACCCAGAAAGACTGTCTCCCCAAAGTCCATGATGGCTGCTGTCAGTAGATTTTCAGATGTTAGGCAACAGCAGTAATCACTTTTGGGCATTGAAGAACTGGTTCTTGGCTGTTCTGAGGAGATGTAAATAAACACTTTAGCCTGGGTTCACATATATGCGGTGCGGTATATTGTGCTTGATTCGCACTGGAACTGCTCCCAACTTTATATAACCATGTGCCATAAAGTAAAAAAATAGTGGCTTTTACTGAAAAAATATAGTTTGACAAATTAATTTAGACAAACATTATTGCAGCTTCTTATTTACTTCTCATGTATAGATATTTAAGGATGTTTACTAATTGTCTAAAACCTGATGCCATAGACTATCCCATTCAGACATTTTTAGATAGTAATATCACTCCCTCACTCGATCCAGTGCTGTGCCAGTCTGTAGTGGCTCTCCCTGTTCTGACAGGCTTTGCTTTACTGATAGTTCCTGCTGCTGTCAATCATATCCTGTGATGGAGTGGGGGATAGGACCAAAACTCACTGTCTGTGTCTATGGACGCAGGCAGCGCAGCTCAGGATTAAGGCTGCAGGTGTGCCATAATAAAAAAGCGGATTCCTATGGTGGCACACCAAGAAGAGAGGAAACCTGGAGCGTCAGCAGGGGACCAGAGAAAAGGAGGATCAGGCTGCTCTGTGCAATTCTATTGCACAGAGCAGGTAAGTATAACATATTTGTTTTTTTTTTTTGTTTTTTTTAAATTAAACTTTACAAACACTTTAAATGAGAAGCATCCGTACTGCAGTAGAAACATCACATATTAGTCTATGGGTGGTTTGACCTTAAGTTCTGTGCAAACTTCTGGGACAGTGAGTGCACCAATTATTGGAGCTAGGAGATGAGGATTCTAAAGGTCTGTCTTCAAATAGGATAGTGTTTCTGTGACTGCAAATATAGTGAATGTGAAATTTTTTAATTTTTAAAAAACCAGATCAAGCAAATACAATCTAAGGCCACATTCCAGACAGAATTGAAAATGACAATGAAGATGTAGTCAAAGAGCACCTGCTCAGTATTTCAGTTGTACCTCAAGAAATAACTGTGTTTCACCTGTCCATACAAGCCACTTTATTTTACTTTATGAATGGACTGAGGCCTAAAACGTTATAGTTTTGCAAGCCCAGTGAATCGATCTTTCCAGTATGCTCCTAATCCCATAGGAAACTTCAGTTTAACTCTTTTAAATGTAACTTCATTGTTTATATATTTGCCCAGACTGTGTTGGTGATGATCATTATTTATCAACGATGGCCCTTATCTCAGATATCCAAATTAAGCATTAGTTTCTTTATGTTTTACAGGAACTTCTACTACATAACCATCCTCCGTGATCCTGTTTCTCGATATCTAAGTGAATGGAGGCATGTCCAGAGAGGAGCGACCTGGAAGGCTTCTCTGCATGTATGTGATGGAAGATCCCCAACCACAGATGAGTTGCCTAGCTGTTACACTGGAGATGATTGGTCAGGCTGTTCTTTGAAGGAGTTTATGGATTGCCCCTATAATTTAGCCAATAACAGACAAGTTCGTATGTTGGCTGATTTGAGCTTGGTAGGATGTTACAACCTATCTGTGATGCCAGAGGAGCAGCGAAACAAGGTTCTTCTTGACAGTGCCAAGGAAAACCTTAAGCGCATGGCTTTTTTTGGTCTGACGGAATTCCAGAGGAAGACCCAATATCTTTTTGAAAAAACTTTCAACATGAACTTCATTTCTCCTTTCACTCAATTCAATAGCACGAGGGCGTCAAGTGTGGAGATAGACGACCTGACGCAGAAACGTATTGAGACATTGAATTTTCTAGACATGGAGTTATATGAATATGCAAAAGACCTTTTCTTACAAAGATATCAATTTATGAGACAAAAAGAACACCAGGAAGCAAGACGGAAGCGCCAGGAACAACGGAAAATCTTGCGAGCAAAACATGCAAATCACAAACTGGATATGGACAACTCAACTGCTGATTATATAGGGAATGTGGAGAAATGGCGGTAGTAGATTTTATAATCTTAGTCTACTACTAGAAATGTACAATAACCATAAAAACTGGAGATAAAAAAATTAGGCAATGACCTATTCCAAATGATTTTACACTTCGCATACAGTTGAAGCTGAAGATGTTTATCAGTTGCCTTTGCAAATGCCTTTGCATTAATTATTGTAATTACACTTTACATGGGAATTAGTTGTGTGACTTAGTTCAAAAAGGTTGAAGAGAAATTGATAGTATATTAGTAGACCTGATTATCAAAGAAATGCAGAATCCAGTTTGTGTAATGGAGTTATCCAGAACACTTCATCAGACTACGTTCCATGTTTACTTTTGTTGTAGAAATACGTTCCTATTTTAAATATGGTATGACTGAAAAATCTTTCATTGATCAATATCCAAATACTTTTGTCAAAGACATGGTTTAGCAGGGGGCTGATTTAACATTTATGCAATCTTATTTCCCAAATAATTGATACATGTTGACTGTGTTACTTTTTAAAAGAAACACATGGTTTTTAAAGCAACTCTGTGACTAAATATAGTTTTTTTTTTGTTTTTTTTTTAATTAAAGCTGCACCTATAAATAAAATTGTAAATACTTGCTTTTTCTACCATCCAAACCGTCAAAATGCTCTGATCAGTAAGAATCACTGGCTGACATCTATGCAGAATCCAACTCTGTCAATCTTCTGCTCCCTGCAACAGTCACTTGTTCCTTCTGCTGACCCCGTGTCGTTCTAGGACACAATAGTGATGTAGAGGTCAGCAGGAGGAACCGTTGAGCATTTCAGGGGACACGTGAGAAGAACATTCCCGAAAGTGTCGTTTTCTGCACAGTCCTCCATCAGTGCATCCTCTTGGTCACAGTGACCTTCTTCGATACTGGCATAGTATATATTTATCTTTTTCTTTACAGGTACAGTTTCAATTTAAACATACAGTTTAGGGAGCTGGTCATTTTATACTCTAAAGAATGCCCTGAAGCCAGGTGTTCTCAATCAATACAAATGGGTCATACCTGTTATATTGTAAAGTGTAACAAGTAAATTAATTTAATATAATATATACTGGGAACTTACTAATGTTATTTTCAGCCTTGGATCTGTTGTTTGTAAGTTCCACTTCAGACAGAAGGAACATAAACAGAAAGAGAGGGCTTCATTTATGGTGAGTGATAACATGAATTTTTAAGAAATCAGAGAGAACATTAAAAGGAAAACTACTATATAGTACGACTAAACGGTTATATAGAGTGCACAGTTATTGTTACGTAACACACATTTTTAGTGTGACATATCAACTGTAAATCAGTTTCCTTGTTTACGACAGATCACAACAAGAGCTAGTGCAATAAACAGGATTTGACTAGTCAGAGCCCATCAGGAGTCAGCTGTGTAAGCTGAGAATTTCCTGTAGTGGTATGGTTCTTTCCGACAGACAGTAAGCTTTGTGGTGGATCTCTTTGCAGAAGGTGGAATAGCAGAAGCTGACGCTGTTCAGGAGACACTATTGCCACTTTTTGTTTTTCTTTTTTATTACAATTGTGGTACAGCAATTTTACATTTCTGGACTGTGTTGCAACTGCAAGCCAAGCATTTGGCTTATAGTTGCAGTATAGCCCCACTGATCTGAATTGATGGGCTTGACAGGCAGTGCTGCCTGTGAAATTCTGCAGCCCACGTAAAAAAAAGGCACATTCTCGGCATGTGTACACCCCTGTTAGGTTGAAAAGTTAGAATTCGAGTGGGTGGTCAGTGGGCTGTAAAATGTGTTTTTATCCTCCTCCTCCTCAGCTGCTCATGTGAAAAAGCTGGTAGGTAAAGTTCTCGCACAGTAAAGCAGATTTATGCAGAATGCCTCATTAAAGTTTCCAAACCCTCTAAAGAGTTAGAAATCCACTGGAGGGTGCAGATAATGGAGTGATGTGTTAAAACTTAATAAAAATAACCACACACAATGTTGAAGTAGTAACTCATAGCAAACCAATTAGGTTTTACCTTTCATCTTAAGGAGTTTTACAAGAATTCAGATTGGTCAGTATGGGCAACAACTTCAATTCTGTAGAAATGCTTATACTGCTCTAGGTAGATTTGAGGTCTACACTCCTCTGCAGTATCCAGGTGCTGGTCTAGCCCGTTTGAACCAATATATCATACTGATTCACAACAGAAGGACTACCACACAATTGGAATTTAGCAAATGTCTTTATTGATTCACAGAAAACAGGAGCACATAGACTTGCGTGCTTTGTGCTGCTCACAACTCTTTATCAAATCTATCTTTGAGCAATGCCAAACACATAACAGCATGGGTTTCCATTCTCCATGAATCAATAAAGTTTCCTACATTCCAGTATTTCTGCATGCTGTAATCCCTCTGTTGTAAATGTGTATAACTTCAAGTTTGTACTGATTTTCCTTTGCCCGGTTTCAATTAATCAGTTTTAGAAAACTATTATATCATACTCTTTGCTGCTGAGCCAAAAGCATTTACCTAGGAAGGAGGAAAACACCTTCAGATATATTTAGATGGCACTAGCAAACTTCCACGAGTTCTTCGGAGGCTGAGTTTGGACCACTGAATACAAATGGATAGTGTGGTGGGTCCCTATGAAAAATCTATATTTGAATATTTGAAGCCCTTTAGCTTTGTTTACTTTGATGGGGTTGACTTTTGAGCCAGAGAAGAGATCACCTGAAGTCTGACAGCTGCTGCGCTGTTCATCATATAATTCAATAATAAAAATGTACAGTTTTAACTCCATTTTAGTTGTCAAGGTTGCAAGTGTCAGACCTCAGGTGACCTCTCACCTCACTTAAGCTGGACTTACACCTGTAAAATTATGTTAGAAAATTTGGTACAACTATGAACAAAATATGTAGTAATGGACTTTGTGTGGACATCTAGAAGAGAAACTGAGCACCATAAAAAACAACTTTTTTTATGTACCATTATGAATCTATTACACAACATTAAAAATTACTCCACATAGGAGTTCCCAACATGCAAAGATTCCAATTACAATTCATATGTGAACGCATTTTGGGAATCCTTCTTTATCAGCACATATGACAGAATCAAGAAGGTACAATTAAAAGCATTAAGTAACAGATTTCTGTAGTTGAGAAACCTGTTACTTACTGCATGTAAATGTACCACCTAGATTCTGTCGCATGTCCTCCTGAAGAAGGATTCCAGAAATGTGTTCAGTCCACATGTGACTTGTAATCAGAATCTTTGGTTGTTGTGAACACCTATGTGGAGAGTAATTTTTAATGATGTGTAATAGATTTTTAATGGTACATGATAAAGTTGTTCTTATGGTGCTCGGTTTCTCTTCTATATGTCCACACAAATTCCCATGGCTACATATTTTGTTCACAGTTGTACATGATTTGCTAGGATGTGGACATATAGCACACACAGTCTGGGTTCTCTCCTGCTTTAGATTTGTTAAAAAATTTATTAAAAAACATTTATTCTGTTATCTAGGAGTTAAAAGAGATGATTCAACAACTGGTTTCAGCCAAACCAAGCCAAAAAAATTGAAGGACAAGGATGGAAAGTTTTTGTTGAAACCAGATGGGAACAAACTTCTAATTGTTGAATTCGCTCACGGTTGAGAAAAATTGTAACTGACCTTATGTGCATGCACTTGTCACAGTTAATCCAGAAGTTGAATGTTTGTTCTACAAAAGTCAAGACATCGACATGGTTTTCAAACAAAAATCATTCCAAATTAGTTGAGTCTATAATAGCACCATCAAATGGTGGGATAAACAATTTTTTTTAACTTTCTCCAATTAACAAAAGTCTGCAGGTGTATAGCCAGCCATATCTCTGAAAGTCAGCCTCAGGCAAATCAAATAAAGCTGAATAAGTTGGAAAATGTAAACTATTCATTGGTAAGCTTGCACAGTTTTAATATTTTCACATTGAATATTTATATAATTGCATAAGCCTGATGGGGACTTGTTCTTTTTGGACAGATCAGATCCCAAACTTATTTCTTCTACGATATCATGTAGATAAACCTAAATCCCCTCCAACCCGCACCCCAAGACGAGCAAGTAGTCTCAATGAAGGAGCTGCATTCTTGTCCTGTTATACTGTACATTCGCTGCTCTACATTTTCCAGCTTGTTAACTGGGTTATTTGTATTATGATATTTCATAGAAAAGCTGAATACAGTTTCATTGGTTGCTTAATAATTATAGCTGTTTGTTTGATATCAAAAAGTCAAGTATAAAATTCATTTTTCTGTCTAAATGAGCACCAGCTTACTGGGCTCCCACAGAACACTTTTCCAAACTCCATCACAAGCTAGGAAACATATAATTGTCCAAAAAAGAAATCATCAACTTACAATTCATTAAAATCATCATCCTGCCTTTGTCCTGCCTCTATGTCAGGGGTCTCCAAACTGCGGCCCAAGGGCCAGATGTGGCCCTTTGCTAGCTTTTAACTGGCCCTTGGGGCGCTATTCCTAACACTGACACCAAAAGTGGGGCACAATTGGCCCAACTGACACCAGCAATGGGACACTATTCTTCCCACTAATATCAATGATAGGGCCCTATTCCATCCACTAACATCAACGATGGGCCAATATTCCTTCCAGTAATAGCAATGATGGGGCACTACTCCTCCTCCTACTGATCACAGGCACTATGCTACTGGACACCACACATGAAACCTTGTTTACTCTTACTGATGTTGGCCCTGGGACTTTTTCTACCCCCACTGGCCACAATCCAGCCCCCCTAAAGTCTGAAGGACAGTAAACTGGCCCTTTGTTTGGAAAGTTTGGAGACCCCTGCTCTATGTGATAGCAGTTCTGGATGGTCCTCTTTAATGTGCAGTATGCCTTTTTTGACTTTGGCAAGAATTCCTGGCCTCAAAGAGTTTTGAATTGAGAACATTTTTTTTTTACACTCCATGACAACGAATCAAAATATCATAAATCCAACTGAAAGTTTTCACAAAAATTATTGCACTACTC